GTCCAAAGGCGGAGTAGGCGTGCTGCTCCCTCTGTGGATTGTGGGCAGCCAGAAGTTCCAGCTCGTCCAGTTCGCCATAGGGCGTCAGGGAGGCCAGCACTCCGTTGAAGCAGCTCGCTTGCGACGAACAGAAGGCGGTCGAAAAGGTGTTTCCGTCCACATCCTGCTGGCACCACTCGCAGCCCATCACTCCGAGGCATTCCCTTTGCGTGGAATATGTTTCGCATGTGCCCGCAGATCCGGGACAACTGGGCAGAGCACTGAGTAGTTGTGTGGTCGGTGGAAGGGCAATGAAGTGTTCACTTGGCGGTGGACAGTATGGGAACTGTTTCGTGTAATTGGCAAAGTAGACAAGCGAGGATGGCGAGCTGCTGTCCCCCACCATGGGACACTCACAGGGGCACTCGCAGTCCGTTTGGTCCATCCGCTTGCAGTTGAGGCATTCCCGGTCAATGGTGCTGCATGGACAAAAGGCACCGCCATCGCAACTGGAGTTAAGAACGGCGGCGAAGAGATTGCTACCCCGGATCAGTGCAATCGCGTACTTGGTCCTCTCGCCGTGCACCACGTTGCTCAGGATGGTGGCCAGAGATGTGTTGAAGGCGTAATAACGCTGCAGCGTGCGGTTCTGATAACTGGCACAGCCCAGTTTTCGTACCAACTGTCCATGGTTAAGCACATCGTTGGCCAAGTAGGATTCCTTGTGCGTAAGGTGCTCATGTGGCCGTCGCTGGTTTCTCGTCATCGTGGCGGGTTGCAGCATGCTGGGATGGGCTAGCAGATAGCCTTCGTGCTCAAACAGCAGGCACTTCATGTGCGGCAGCTGACAGACAGGAGTCCCATCCAGGATCAGGCGATAGTAGAAGGCATAGGGAACGTCCAAGGCCACCACTGCCACCGGTCTGTCCTGCTGGACAGAGTGCAGCGCATGGGCCTTGCCCTCGAAAATGGTGTGCGCAATGGTGATTATGTATCCCGCTCCGCCTGCATCCAAATACGGAGCTGTGCTCACAATCTTGCCCGGTTGTGCCATGGCCTGACGGAACCAAGGTCTCCTTGTTGGATCGTAGCTGCTGCCGAGCAAGCAACCTGGATACAATTGCAGCACTCCACTCACACTGGCCATGTACCGTCGAATGATGTGACTACGCAGGGAACCTCTTGCATCCTGGTGACGGCGTCGCAACTGCTGCATTGCCTGGTACAATACACTCACCTCATGTCGAATACTGGGACGCAGCCCCATATTGGCCAACAAACCACTGGAGTCCCGGAGGTAGGCCATTATGGACTCCACGTGTCGCAACTGGGTTCGCGGCCTATTGTTGTGAAGGAATCCGAACGGAGACTCGAAGGCGGCGGCGCTAAGGAACAGAGTGGGCGCATCTGCGAAAAAATCGTAATTTAATAAAATGTCTAGGGATTTCTATGTATAAAATTTACCCATTGTGGCCATTTGCCTGAAGTACCGACAGGTTTTGGGCGGCGCACTGCCGCCTTGATTGAGGTCCAAGCGATGGTAGAGCAGGTCCATACTTTCCCCATAGTAACCTGGATCGTAGTTGGACACGGTGTCCTTTAGATTGAATCGTTGCGGAGAGGACACATTACGCAGGGGATCGCCTCCACTGCTGACCAGGCAGAGTACATAGAATCCCAGCACGGATTGCCAGTAGTACGTGCGCTGTAGCAGCTGCCTGCCCACATAAACATCCGCGGTGGCATTGCCGCTGTCTTCGCGCAAAAGGCGCTCCCGTATGAGGTTGGAAAAGTCCGTAGCGTTTTCTAGGTAAGCGATGTTTACGGGATAAGAGGTTTCTCGCTGAATAAGCGGCCTCGGGAAGGCCGGATGAGCAAGCGTGTTCCCCGTTGAGCGCTCGAGCAGAAAGGCATACCCACTGCCCTGCTTGGCACTAGATGCGGCACTCGGATAGTTGAGCAGATCCTCGAGCAGATCTGACAGGTACAAGTTAACGCCCACGACGCCATAGGGAGGAACGGCATGGGTGATGGAGACAAGAACATCTGCAAAATGGGGAATATTTATTGGGTAAACTAGTGAGATCCTTCGATCCACTCACCTCCGCTGTCTGCGTCCACAACTGGGGGATGCACTTCCAGCGTATTGCTCAAGTATCTCTCTTGAAAGAGCTGTCCAAAGATCCTGGAACTCGTCTGTGGCAAAGAGGTCTCCGCATGCATTTTGCTAAGCACAAAGAACCGTCCAGCCAACTGTGATGCCGGCTGAGTACTGGGCCACCAATTAGCCACATCAATCTCGTACTTGGTGTAGTTCTGGGTGGCCACATCGTTAAGGAATTGCTTTTCGTACATGATCCGCTTTTCATCCAGCACCACGGCGCATGTGTTGATGATCACTGGGGCCCTGAGTCGTCGTTGACCATCGGCTACCACTCGCAATACTGCCATCGCATCCGACAAATTTGTGAGAAGACCACGCGTAATGTAGACAAATTCCACTGGCTGCTCCGCCGGGTTGATCATTCCCGACTGCTGCAATCGATGGAGCAACTCGAAGGAGTACTCAAACCCCAACGAGTGATTCGTAGGAGCCTGTGCCCGGCTCAAGTTGTTGATGTAGCTGTTGATCTCCTCCTTGTGGCCACGAGTGGCACTGTAAATCCCGTGGCCAGCCTCCGCAGGAAAGGCATCCAGGGACATGAAGTTCGCTTCACTCGAAACGGTTACCAGTGACACTTTATCCGTATCCTCCAACAGTTGGAGCATTTCATGTACTAAGAGTAAATAAAATGTATTTTCTGCTATCCAATATTAATCAAAATATTTACCAAAGCTTTTCGTGAGGGCCAACAACTCGGCGTTCAGAGCTGATCCAACATCGATGAGAAAGAGCACAAATTTTTGCTTTATTGCCGACACATAGAGCTGGCGAAAGTGCAGGCTGGCAGAGGCGCCATCCGAGTTGGACAGGAAATAGATATGCTTGAAGTGGTTGCCGCTGCTGGGCTTGCTATTCGAGTTTTCCGCATCGCTGCGACTAAGCCTGCGCTTGAGTAGAACCAGTTGATCCGATATGTACCCATTGACGGCCAAGGAACGGGCGTTATTCTCATTCAAGAAGGTGGCGCGAGCATCGTCCGACTTCAGATAGTTTAGGATTTGGATCTGCTGCCTGTTGTAGTGAATCGATTGGGCCGACGAAGAGCCGTACTCCAAATCCGTTTCGAAGTCGGGTTGACAGTTCTCTATTTGGCTGTTTAGGTAGAGCTGCATATGCTCGGCGGACGGCGAAGCTGTGTTCCTGGCATGCAAATCTTCCAGCTCCATCTCCAAGTCCAGTTCGCTCTCCGACTCCTCCTCCTCGTCGTCGTAGCTGTATTGCCAGACCTTGGTGAGGTTGTAGCGAAAGAGCTCGCGCAGATCCAGCACCACGTGGGTGGCCTTCTGCAATTTCTTGCTCAGTCGGCTGCTGAACAGCTGCAAATCCCGCTGCAGCTGGGGATTTCTGGGGCTGCTGTCGTTACTCGGAGCTTGGCGGGTGGGCGGCGCCAAATTGGAGCTGCTAAAGTGCATGGAGTCGAAGATTTCCTGCAGGGTTTAAGAGCAATATTAGCTTTGCTTAGATAGGCTTATTGTATGAACAGGTTACCTGTATTTTGGCCACCCTCATCTCCATGTTGCGGATGTTGCGCAGCTTGCCCTCCATGCTGTGCCGCAGCTGCATGGCATTCTGCTGGTTGTGGCTGACGAAGAAGACGCTCGCCGGCGACTGCTGCAGGGGCATGTAGCCGGGGTCCGTAGGCACTTGGTTGCTAGTTGAGTTGGCTATGGCCAGAGGAACTTGTTGACTGCTAGTTGGGCACCCAAGCGCTGCCAGGATGAGCAGCGCAGCGTGGAGGCGGCAGCTGGGCCACATGGTTTTGGGGTTTCCGGCGGGCTGCGTGGCCACTGGCGCATAATAGGTAGCTTACCGCATGTCTAAAAGGGCCACAAAATGATATAGTGCAATGGTAAAGTTCTCCTCCTTCGCAATTCTGTATTACCAGGTTCTCCGCGAGCTGCACGCTGATTTGTTTATGGAATTTCGTCACATATATCTCGCTGATTCCTTCTTGTTAGGCATGGCAGGCAAGCGCACATTGCTTATTGGCACTAGGACAACACATAATTAACACATTAATCGTTTCATTCTACCGATTTAGTATTATTAAACAATTATTATTAAAGTTTTGTAGTTTTTCTCAACATTCCATTCGCGCAGTAAAGTGTAGGACCGCAGGCGGGAGTAGTGAAAATACCGCATACATAAGTGTGGCTGTATATTAGGGAGATTTGAAAGTTAAAGTGCGGCTACCCTAAAAATAACGTATTTTTAAATATCAATTTGGAGCCAATCCTTGAATCAATTGTTTGAAATTGTAATTTTCTAATCTAATTAGACTAAATAATAAACTAAAATAATAATCATAAAAAATCGAAGAACTTTAATAAGGGAAACACAGAAAGAAAAAACATTTAAGAGTAGATTTTTTAAGTGTTACGATTATTTAAATGTCGAAATTATAATAGAATTAAATTACCACATGTAAAATTATTCTTATTTAAAGGGATTTCAATGTTTTTGTTTTATCAAATGAAAACGTGCTATAAAATCATGAGGATTTTACTACCCAATATTTTTATGAAATTAAATTAGTTTGTCAATTAACGAACAACATTTACTTTCCCTTTCACTTTTCATGAGTAGTTACAATTTGACGACCGTTAACTAACTTCTGTCATCGAAACCAAATTTGAGCCTTTGCCAATTATTCGCTCATCCGTTGTCAAGGTTGTGTGCAGTCAGTTCTTTTTTATTTTTGTCGCTTGGGTACGTGACTATGTAGTCTGAAGATGGAACAGATGCAGGCCAATTGGTGTCAGACGAACAAGGTGCGTGTCCGGCATGATAAATATTGCAATGGTTCCAATTGTCCAATATAAAAGTGAGCAAGTCCCAAACGTTGCAGCGCAGTTTCAAACGCACAGTTCGTCAAAATGGTGACAAAGGTACGAAATGTTCGATTGCCCGAAATGTATTTGTAATTTAAAACTTCTTTCCTTAAGTTTCTTCTACTGATGCCTTTTTTGGCCATTGTGAGGGGTGAAGTAGGTCCAATCGTTGCACGTAGAGCTTCATATGCCCCAGCTGGTTGGCATCCGCGGGTTCCGTTTAATTTACCCACTGAGTATGAGCCTCCAGTTCGCCAGGCTGTTGAAATCACCAAGGCACGAGTGGACCAAATCAATCCGGTCGATAAACCTCAATCGAACTATCTGCCCCCGCAACAAGTGGATATTCCCGATGGAGAAACTCTGCCCATCTCCCGTCCATCCAACCAGTACGGCCCACCTGATCCGAAATTCAAAATCATCTATCCCGACGAGGAAGAGCCCGCTACTCCAAAGGATTCAGCAGGCAACCAGCAACCGAAAATCAGAGAAGGACGTTACTTTGTCATTTCAGAGGATAATAAACTGCAGAGGGTTACTTTCAGCTCTCAGCAAAATGACAATGATGAGGACTTTACGGCCCAGTTGAGTTATTCAACTGTGGGACAGCTCAAGGATCCTGTTTATCGGTACAACAACCAAGGACAATTGATGAGGATCTTGAAGTAGATATTTTTTTAAATGCCAATTAAAAAACGTATTTTCCAATTGCATTAACATATTATAAATAAAAACACATTTCGGGCTTTCTTTTTTGACTTTGTTTTATACAAAAATGCTTCTTTATTCATTTAATAATTATTAAATATACACAAAAATCTCATAAGTTCGTTTCACTTTCGAATTTCCATTATCGTTTAAAAACTAAATACAATCCTTATGCATGTATGTATGAATGCGTAATGGTCATGGTGTGTGTGAGTGGTGTGTGGTTTGTGTGTGTGTGCGTAGACTAACACAAAATGGAGGCGCTTAAACAAAACAAAACGGCAAGGAGTTCCAGGCGTAGAGACAGGAAACGGTAGTGAAACGGAAACGGAAAGGAACGCGCCTGTCTATGGCAAAATGGCGGCCGTTCCACTAAAAAGGATAAGGGATATCGATAGGCTGATAGACTGATAGACTGACTGCGATCGCTGGCTCTCTGGCTGGATGTGCGTTTAATACTCGGCCAGCGGTCCCATTTGAAGTAGGCGAGTATAGTTGCGGGGTCGACCTAGATCGGGAATCCAAATTCCCCTTCCTCCTCCTTAATAGCCGTTGAACTTGCCCTGCTGCGCGTTGCTATCGTAACCGCCGCCATTGCGTCCGTTGCCGTTGCCATTTCCGTTTCCGTTGCCGTTGCCAACCTGCTCGTACCGGATGGTTGGGCGGTATCCATTCTGATCGGCCTCGTACTCAACGATCTGCTTGCGACCATCGGGCAGCAGGACGTAGTAGCGGCCGACGGCCAGATCGCCATCGCGGGACTCCATGTGACCGAAATCGTTGCCCGATTCGTAGTCCTGAACGTCGTACTTGAACTCGTACTTGGCCGGTCCGTACTGCTCCTCATCCCGCTGTCCGTAGCCTCCGTTGCCGTTGCCATTACCGCCGCCATAGCCTCCATTACCATTACCGTTGCCGCCCTTGAAGATGGCGCCCGTCAGCGCGGGAGCACCATATTGACCCTGGGGCGGGGCAATCGGAGCTCCGTAGCTGTTGCTGGGCGCTCCTCCGCTGCCACCGTTGGTCCGCTGGGGCGGCAGGTAGTTGTTCGACGGCGACTGGAAGCCCTGCGTGGGCGGCAGATAGTTGTTCGACGGCGCCTGGGGCGACTGGTTGGGCGGCAGGTACTGGTTCTGGGGCACTGGCGGTTCCGCATGGGTCCAGGCAGCCAGGCACACGAGCAGCGCAATTGATGTAAAGGCCTTTTGGGAGGGGTAAATAATAAATAATTAATAACCGAAAAAAAATCGATACGAAACGTAGATCGATTTTACATTATTTAAGATCAATTTAAATTTGATTAGGTAAATTAACAGGTAAATTTAAACTGTTTGAAAAGAGTATTTCATGTAAAAACGACATGGGTTTGGCATGACTTAAAATTTACATGGTGTGGGTAAAGTTGAAGATCTCTCTGAATCCCAGTCAAAAGTAGCACCCCAGGACACAAAACTCTGACCCGAACCCTAGTCACTCGAAATTTTAAACGTTTTTAACCCCATTAAGTGCTATTTTCGCTAGTTAGTTAGCAACCATGACCGACTCGGATGAGACAGCCTGGATCCATTGGTTTTGCAAGCAGCGCGGCAACGAGTTCTTCTGCGAGGTCGACGAGGACTACATCCATGACAAGTTCAACCTCAACTTTCTCGACTCGAACGTGACGAACTATCGCTGTGCTCTGGAGGTGATCCTGGATCTGAACTCGGGCTCAGCCTCGGATGCCCCCGCCGAACCGGAATTGGAGGCCAGTGCCGAGAAGCTGTATGGGTTGATCCACGCCCGCTTCATTCTCACCAACCGTGGTATCGATCTGATGCTCGACAAGTTCCACAAGGGAGCCTTCGGCACGTGTCCACGCGCCTTCTGCCAACGCCAGTCGGTGCTGCCCATCGGATTGAGCGACAATCCCGGCGACGAAATGGTTCGCATCTACTGCCCCAAATGCAACGATGTGTACTTTCCCAAGGCGGCGCGACACTCCAATCTGGACGGGGCCTTCTTCGGCACCGGATTCCCTCACATGCTCTTCATGGTGAATCCGGATGCGAGGCCCAAGCGGACGAAACAGAAGTTTGTGCCCAGGTAAGAAACCGTACTTGGTTACTTGGTTAGTTTATAAGATAAGTAAGTGCCTAATAAGTTTAGTATATCTCAAACTATTGTTCGGTGTTCTATAACAAAATGAAGACTATTTAAATTTGGAAACTATAAAACTGCAATAAGTGCATAAAACATTTACTTTTGAATTTATAATTTTATATTTTTAGTTTTTATAATTTTTGAGACTGGGATTTAAAAGGAAAGGTTTAATTATTTTTGTATTCATTTTTTGTATTAATTTGTTTTCGTTTTATTTGATTTGATACAAGACCGTCCAGTTTCCGACATTATAAAGAAGTCTTTCTCGGATTGAAGTAGTTCTATAAATATAATATTCAGTCTAGTTATATTGTCATGTTTTTTTCAGGCTCTATGGCTTCAAGATCCATCAGATGGCCTACCATTCGCCCGCTGATATCCTAAAAGATTTAACGGGAGCGGGAGGACCGGTAGCAGAAATCGATACCCCGAACCACCATGCCTGAGATCCCAAATCCAAAATTTCTCATGTGAAACTGTCTTGTGATCGCCCCCTGTAGAGTACGAACTACTGTTTGGCTGTTTGGCTGGCTGGATTCCAGCTCATTAAACTCCCATAACGAAACCATAACTGCTCAGGCTGTGACCCGCTTGACAATCTTTTGTTCGGATTTGATGGCTTGCGAGCAGGCCCAGAATCGGCTTTGTCTTTCCCATCTTTACAGCATTTAGCCGGGGCATATGCAAATCTGAGGTAATTGGGTCTCAGGTGAAGCTCCCATCGGATTTATATTGGATTGGATTCGGTTGGATTTTGGACTGAGCTGAGCTGCAAGTGAAGGGCTGATCTGTGGCTTGCGCAATGCGTCTGAATGTTAAGTATACGCCGTGTGGCGCGGACAACCTGTGGGAGAACCTCTTCGGCGCAAAAGGCTTACACAACTTATTTCCGAATCTTGTGCAAAAGATCTACAGGGCCGCTAATGGCTTTCATGCTTCATTGGCTTTAAAATGCTATGCTTTTTGGCTGCGCTTTTGTGTGCCTTTTTATCGCCGCCTGGTCATCTCCAGGCTGCCGTACTTGGGCATGTCCAGTAGTTGTTCTTCTTCCGCCACTTAAGTTTCTCTAATTTATTCATTGCAAAATGACCCCAAGCTTTGTTTACCCACACCCTAGAAATGTACTGGGATCGCTGCCTGCAATTGTTTCCCAGGCGGATGAGATCGGTGTCGTGTTCTAATTCCGAAACCAGCGAACAAAAAAAACCAGTAGCCATCCCCAACAAATTGAATGCTATCTCAGCTACAGCTTATGAAATTTATTATGCGGATCTCCGCTTGATTAATCGCCCTGCTGAACTTGACTTTAAATATGGCTCAAATATTAATATTTCATGTCTTCTCCTTCCGATTAGCTGGCCAAGTGTTATGTTGGACAATCAAAGCTTCATTAGCTTGATGAGTTGTTTAATTGATTGATCGATCTATTGCCAAAATCCATTTTAAATGAGGGCTATTGATTGACTCGAAAAAATGAATACAAAGTTCGAACATGTTTTTGGCACCTTTATGATTAAATTTAAAACATGAGGAAAAAGCTGAATTTTTAATTCATATTTCTAAGAATTTATCTAACAATTTTATTTTTAGAGAATCAAAAATAATAATCTAATTTAAAATTTATAAATTAATAGATTTATCATGTTTTTCCATATTTCTTATAGTTGATTTTAAAACATCTATATTATTTATATTATATCCTTGAGTACACTATTGGCAACTGAGTCCTAACGTCTCCTCGCTACCTCCTTTTCGTTCTGAATATTTTTACTAAACAAATCCTTTATGTATTCAGCAAGGACTCATTTTTACACAGCACACCACTTAACACTTGAGTTGACTTTACAGTTCTAGTTGGCTTTATAGAATATACCTTCATTTTGTGTTGTCACTTGTTTGGGATTTTGGCACACACGAAAACGGTTTTTGTTAACTCTGCTCTGTTGGCTCTGTTCTTCTTGCGAAGATGGTTGACTTGATTGTGATACTGAAACAATTTCGTAGGCCAGTATTTATATTTGAAATGAGCAGCAGCAGCTAACGCTGCGTCGTCGACGTCGGCTTCAAAAAATTGCGCGCCAAAATGTATTTTTTTTCTGTACTGTTCAGTTCAGTTCAGTTCGTTATTTCAATTTTCGTGCCTCTGCCGAACGAGCACTCGAAAAACATTACAAAATAATGCAAAGCACAGAGGAAGAGCAGATTGCTCTCGGGGCTCGCGAGAAAAGAGGGAAATCGCTCGGGGAGGTTTGTTATAGTAAACTAGTTACTTTGAAATTAAAGCGCCAAACATTTTGACGAGCTGGCTTCGTTTTTGTGTTCGGCGTTTGGCAAATGAGCGAAGATGAGTGCCGCTGCGACATCCAAACAACCAAACAACCAAACATCCAAACAAATGACGACGACGAGGGAGTAACGCGCTCCTGCGGCTGCAGGCCATAAACATTTGTTGCCGCTCGTGTAATGGCAGAAACACTTATTTGTAATGGAATTAGTCATGCAGCGGGCAGCGACGTCGACGGTAGCGTCCAAAAACGAAGTGAGCGGAGGCCCAGCTGCTCCACGCATCTTCATCTCGGATCGGAGGCTCAGTCTTGCGGCAGCTTCTGCGGCGGCTGCCTCGAAAAGCGACAAAACAAAAGACTCAGGCAACGAACTTGCTGCAGCAATTTTGTTTCCCCTAAGTGCGTGGGAGTTTCTTCTGGGTTTTTGGTTCGGCTTTTTGTTTTTCGGCACAACTAATGAGCTGGATTATGCCCCAGAGTTCGCAGATGCGGCCGTTTGGATTTGCGCTGACATGGATTCAAGTCGGATAAGCTGCAATTGAGATGTGAGCACAGCGAGGGAAATAGCGTTTCAAAACGATTTTCAGATACGTTATCGCGCTGGGAAATTTACGCTCTAGTGTCAACGATTTTGATTGAATTTATAATGAACATTAGAAGAGGCTTAAATGTGCCCTACAAAGTAAAATATTTTCTTACAAAATGATGGAATTGCTTTATTTTTGAATGCAGTTTTTATATGAGTAGATTGAAAACGAGAAAGCTCGTCTCTGAACGATTTTTATACCCGTTACTCGTAGAGTAAAAGGGTATATTAGATTCGTGCAAAAGTATGTAACAGCTAGAAGGAAGCGTTTCCGACCCCATAAAGTATATATATTCTTGATCAGGGGCTCTAGCCGAGTCGATCTAGCCATGTCCGTCTGTCCGTCTGTCTGTCTGTCTGTCTGTCTGTCTGTCTGTCTGTCCGTCTGTCCGTCTGTCCGTCTGTCCGTCTGTATGAACGCTGAGATCTCAGAAACTACAAAAGCTAGAAGGTTGAGATTTCCCACACATATTCTTTGGCTTCCTACGCAGCGCAAGTTTATTTTAGCCGAGCGCCACACCCCCTCTAACGCCCACAATCGCCAACTAAAGATTTTAAAATGGGTCCTGCGCCCACATCTTTAAAGATTTCCGAGAAGTATAAATGCAATTTTGTGGTTTATATTTATACCTATCGAAATGTAGAAGACATTTTTCAAATCGGACCATTCATTAAAAAGTTATACGCAATCAAAAATTATATATCTATCTCCCTCGCACTCCCTTTAGCTGAGTTACGATTATTAGTCGGGACACCAACCCGACACAGCGTTCGCACTCCCTTTAGCTGAGTGACGGGTATTAGATAGTCGGGACAACAACCCGACTATAGCATTCTCTCTTGTTTTTATTAGGGCGGGCAATAAAAAGTAGTTGTTAAAAAAATAATTATATTGACCTAAAAAATGTTTTTATTTTTGTTGTTTTTATATTATGTTATAATAGATTGCATATTAAATGAGTTAAATTTAAATATATATATTAAAATAAATATTCCAAATAAAAATTTCTAATTTGGTTCTAAAAAAGTAAATTAAAAAAAATTGTATTAAAACCTACTTCTAAGTTTAAATTGTTTTAGAATTAGGGCACTACAAATTTACTCAGATTTATCTTCTTTATTATTATTTGCAATTAGTCATAGAAAAAAATATTTTAATAAAACAGGGAACATTTGGTATTTCCTGCAACAAAATATTTAAAATTGTTTGTTCAATAGTTTTCAATATTTATTTATCCCATTAAAAAGTCGATTGCATAACACAAAGAAAACTTGAACTCTTAAAAACTACTTGAACACAATACTTGACAAGGGGGAAAAGTGAATCAATATTTTTATTGCCATATTCCATGTTCATTGAAACGGTGGGCGTAGCATCCATCACGATCTGCAAATATTTCTTTGGTCAATTGTCTTTGGCTTATTGATCGAATGCGTAGCAAATTCAAATCTTTTGGCAGGCATTTTGTTATAACGGTTTTTGCTCATTATGCGATTTGGCACGAGCTGACTTTCACATTCGATAATGCCAAGTTTATGAGTTGTAAATTCAAAGGCCAGACGCCAGATGCCCCGCCCCAAATGAGCTGGAAATTAATGAAGGCTTAAAGGGATGGGAGGAGGATCGAGGAGGTATGGGGATGAATAGCTTCCTAACTGCCAATTCCGCAAAGTGCTTTTCTGCAAGTAATACTCGACCTTGCCACAGACCACAATAAAAATAAATTAGAGAATAAACTCCAAAAGTTTTGTAATTACCAAGATCATTTCGAGTTGTGTTTGCAAATATGCGAATGCGAAAAATGAAAATAAGTAAACAAAAACTATAACAGAGCAAGGCAGACTTTACTTCATAATGGCTAATATGAATTTTGGATTGTAAACAAAACAATTAAATAAAACTTGGTTTTGCCGCATTCCTTGTCTCGGAAACGAAAAACTGAAATTCATATTCAATAGCACTCCATGAACAACTTGAAATCTGTTTTCGGTTTTCAGTGTTCAGTGCTCAGTTTTCAGCGTCTTCTGCTTGTTTTTTTTACGTTTGTAATCATTTTTCCAGCACATTAAAAAATCATTTAATTTCCTGCATCGGCTAATTTACATTGAACGTGCCAGACAGAGAGGCCAACTAGATGGAGATGCCGATGGAGTTGAAGTTGGAGAGGGGAGCTAATGGCACCTAGCCAGGTGATGATGCGCCAAGTCGAAGACAATGACGATTTGTAATTTCTGATGGCTGCTCTAGAGCTTTTCGAGGGGGGCGGACCTTGAAATACTTGTGTATTTACAACTGCCCGAATCCGATTCCGAATATCTGTATCTGCAGATCCGTATCTGTGTTTGTTTTGTAACCTAGAATGCTGACGAGTGGTGCGCCGCCAACGTATAATTTAAATTAAACTACGATAATTTCTGATGCAATGCCCCCCCAAGACGAACGGAACCATGGAAGCGCGGACAGAATCAATTAAGGCATATTTTGATGTAAGCTGCGACTCACTTTGAATATATCGAGGCACTCTAGATGATGATCTTTCGAGAGTGATTTCTGATTTCTGTGCCTCGGAGTTCT